ACACCCACCAATGCCCTTCACTCTGGCACCATTTACCTCCACCCAACCACACAACACCCATCACCTATCTCCACTCACACAACCCATCTCCACCGCATATCACCTGCTTCTGCAGCTGAGCCCCCTCCCTCTTGTCCCTGGCCTCTTCCCCCCGCAGCTGCTGGCCAGCCTGCCAGGGGAGACGCAAGGCGAGGAAGAGCAGCAGTGAGAGGCAATACTGAGCTACAAGCAGGGAGACCGCTGCTGCTGCGTGTAGTGAGAGCTATTGAGGCTCCTATGAAAGAGCTGATGAGTGGGAGAGTTGCGCGTGGTGCTGGAAGGTGGAGTGCGGAACAGTGGCTGCAATTGGAGATATTTCAGAATGCATACAACCAGAGGAAACATTCTGTGCTGTCTGATGCCCATGTGCACGCATGACCCATACCTCTCACCCAAGCACACCCCTCTCTCCCAAGCACACCCCTCTCTCCCAAGCACACCCCTCTCACCTGCGTCTCCCGTGCGTCCCTGGCCATCACCCTCCCCCGCCATGCGTCTATCCTCGCCTCCACCACGCTCCGGTGCTCCTCCCACTGCCCACGCATGCGACATGGAGGAGAGGGCAAGGGGGGAGGGCGAGGAAGAGAGCAAGGGACGTTGAGGGAGGGGGGAGTGAGAGGGCGGGGCAGGAGAAGGAGTGGGAGTGAGAGTACAAGGAAGAGGGAGCGAGGTGTATGGAGAGGTCAACAAAAGCCCAATGCATTACCAACGCCAGCCTCCTTACATTGTTGGTCAAACTTGGGCACGGTTGAACGAACCCACCCTGCATCACACGCACCTGCTTGCACGCCGCTGCCTGCTACGCTCTCCCCCTTCCCCCTTCACCTCTTCTTCCTCACCGCCCTCCCCCTCGCCCTCACCACTCGCAGCATCTCAACTCGCTCCACCCATCCCCACCCTCTCATCCCCTCATTCCCCTCCCCTGCCTCCTCCGTGTCTCCCTCCCCCCCTCCTCTCCCCCTCTCCGCACGATCACTTGCCGCACTTCCCTCCCCACGCCCCCCTCCCTCGTCCTGTCTGCCCTCCCCCAGCACCTCCTGCAGCCGTGCCAGCGCCGGCGTCAGCTGCAACAAATCCTCGCCCAACCGCTCGCCTGCTGCCGCCCACACTGCCTCCGCTTCTAATGCTGCTCTTGCTGCTGCCTCTGCTGCCGTTTCGGCTGCTGGCTGTGCTGTCACTTGCGCTGCTGAGGGCAGTGCAGCAGCGCCTGCCATGACGTGTGGTGGTGCTGGTGCGTGCACGGGCAGCTGAGCGACCGCCTCTTGGGGCACTGCATGAGGCGCTGCCTGCTGCGCCACACGGGGTGCAGCCGGCAGGTGGTGCCGCTCGTGGAGGCTGGTAATGGAGGGGGGGGGAGGGAGGGGAGGGGTTGGGGGATAAGCAGGCAGAGTGAGATGAGAGGAGAAAGCACGGCAGTGAAGCATGGAGGAGTGAGGGCGAGAAAGGGAGGGAGCAGGCGAGTGGAAGCGAGGGAGCGAGTGGCTGCCAGGACGGGTGGGGGGCAAGTGACACGGCGAGGGGCACGAGGCGAATGAGTGGGACGATGGGAGAAACGACAAAGGGAGGGAGAGCGGGCGGGGCCCTTGGAAAGAGCGAGGGGTTAGGAGGGGAAGGGCGAGTCGGGGGCTTGTGTGATGACAAGGGGCGCACGCAGCCTTGTGAGCTGCGCCTAGCGTTGTTGACAGCCTTCGACGGAGGGGAAGGAGGAGAGCTCCTGGCTTTGGCCATGGCAAGGGGCGTACACGGCTTTAAGGAGCTGCGCGTGGCGCCACATCCCCTCCACTCGCCGCCGTAGCTCCTCCCCGCTCCACTCGCCCAAGTCGCGCTCCCCGCCACCGCGCCACCCATCTCCGCTGCTCGCGTAACCCGCTCCCCTTCCCCCTCCCATTGCCGTTCCGCGCCTCTCATTCCCCGAATCCCCGCTCCTTCCCCCCATTGCTCCGCCGTCCCCTCCGCGTTCACCCCCGCGCATCATGCCTTCCGTCGGCCCCTCTCGCTCGGCGCCCCCCTCTCAACAATGCCGCGTCCGCTGCGGCGACTGGGAACGAGCTACCCCAATAGCAGCAGGCAGCAGCGCAAAGGCTCTTTTCTAAGCGCACTAGGCGGTGCAACTAGCGCGTTGCCTGCTCACCGCGTTGCCCGCCCACTGCGTTGCCCGCCCACCGCGTTGCCTGCCGACGCGCAAGCCGGACCACGCGCGACGCGTTGCTGCGGGGATTGCAGACTTGAACGGAGTTCCCGCAATCCGTGCGCCGACGGTGCGCCACTGGTACCCCGCCCTTCCTCCCGCGGCGAGCCTGTACTGCGCGCTGACACCAAACGGTCGGAGGTTCCGAGGCGATTAAGCCTCGGTGGGCAACGACGGAACAGGGGGGCGCGAAGGAAGCGGCGGAAGCGGCGGAGTGACGGAGGTGGAACGTGCCTGTGAGTGGGCTGCGGCGAGGAGCAGCGACGACTGACTCGGTGGTGTTTGCACGTCTTCTTGCTTCTGACCTCCGCAGGATGCACTGGGCCTTGCGTTTCTAGGGTTCCATCTTGCCGCACGACTTGGCTCACGGTGCCACCACCCTGGCCACCCGATTCCTTCTGTCAAGGAGATGCTCTTATAATTGCCCTAATCTTCGCCCTGGTTTTGCCCTCAGCAGCCACTCCCTCCACAAGCCGCCGCGTGAATGCAGCAGCAGCGCGAGATTCTGGCGAAGTCGATAGAATCCCTCGCAGCAGCAGTGCGGCAGACACGGTGACCCGGCGACATCTTCCGCTCATGCGTCTGATCACAGCGAGTACGCGTCTCAAAAGTTGACGTCGTAGTTGACATGTGTCTTTCCGTCTAGTGGGATAACAGAACAGGTCGGAATCCGTTCCTAGTAACGCGTGTCAACCGTCTGGATCCCGGCAGGCAGTCGCACTGCAGCACGTGTGTAGCGTCGTGCGGCAGCACGGCAGCGTTAGATTGAGGCGTCTCAAACGGGATCGCCGGAGTCGCACGGCAGCATGGCAGCTGCGCTCCGCACGGGGCGAATCAGCGCCGCCGACTTCCCACTCGCCACGACGAGTCTCGCCGCAGCGTGGAACGCGGCGGTAGACGCGCAGAGGACTCGACTGGCGGACGACGCAGCAGCACCGGCACCAGCAAATTCTGCACCGCGGAATGCGGCGGCAGACGCGGTGCACGAGCGAGCGGAAATGGAGGGAGAGAGGGAGAGCAGGGAGTGCGGGTTCGATGGCAGGGCGATGAAGGGCGCGTGTGCGGGGGGCGACGACTATGACCACAGGAGCACGAGGTGCGACGAGAGCATGGAGTGGCGGTGGGTCGCGGCGCGCCCCTCGTACCTGGCGCTCGGAGGTGAGTGCGGTGTCTCAGGCCCCCCTGCCCGCAACCTTCCGCCTGAACACCCCCCCCACCCCCCCTCTTCTGCCCCTTCATCCCTCAGTCTCCTCCTTGTCTCCCCTGCTCTGTGTTTCACCCGCATGCGCCGCCGTGCTGTCTCGCGCTCATCCCGCGCTCCTCCTGCACTCCCATCCGCACATCCCCCGCCCCCTCGTTCACCTTCATATCTACTCTTCCATCGCTCCTTCCATCGCTCCTTCCATCGCTCCTTCCATCGTCCACCATCCTTCACCCCCTTCTCGCTCCCACCCCTCCCGCCCATCCGCCGTGTGCCAGGCGGCTATCTCACCACGGACCACCCGCTGGTGCTGCACCGCCACCACACCCAGCACCAGCATGCATGCCATGGGCAGTGCCACGAGGGAGCTGGAAGCCATGCGGCGGTGCCTGCTCCGTGTGCCGCCAGCACCGACGCTGCTCACCATCAGCTACCTCTTAATCTCGCTCACTTGGTTGACCCGGTTGACCCGGTTAACTCCGTTGACTCCGTTGACTGGTCTGATGTGGTTAACCTGTGTGGCGATGAGCCGCGCGACCCGGCCACCCTGCCGTGCTGCCTTGGGTGGCAGCGCCCGGCAGTGCTGCCTGCAGCAGGCGCAGCGGCACCAGCAGCATGGGCAGCACTGTGCGCAGCCATGGTGGCTGCAGGCCAGGCAGTGCAGCACACGCCAACGCCAACTGAAGTGGCACCTGCTGGGTTACGCACTGAGCATGCGGCGTTTGACGGTGTGGCATGTGTGCAGCAACCATGTGACACGGCAGCAAGGGACATGATGCCATGTGGCATGGTGGCGGTGGTGCAGTGCCATGTGGTGTTCGATGCTGTCTTCTCTGTGCCACAACTGCTGCTCCTGCCATGCCACCCAGGTATGCATGCCACCCAGGTATGCATGCCACCCAGGTATGCATGCCACCCAGGTATGCATGCATGCCTTCCCACCAGACGCGGTTGCATGCCACGCCACCTTCGTACTCCACCGTGCCACCATGTTCTCACCATCGACCTCTCGGGGTCACCTTGACCATCATCCCAATCTTTGCGCCTGCCTGTATTGTGCCCAACCCTGTCCACGCATCCTTTTTCGACCCTTCCCTCGTGCCCACCAGCTCCACCACCCACCCTCCTCTCTCTCTCTCTCTCTCTCTCTCTCTCTCTCTCTCTCTCTCTCTCTCTCTCTCTCTCTCTCTCTCTCTCTCTCTCTCTCTCTCTCTCTCTCAAACGATCCTTCATTGCTGGGAGATCCTTTGTACAGGCGAGGCATATACGGTGAGTACAAGCATGTATGAGAAGCTGGCCGGTCTCCTACTCTATCGCGACTCCCCCGGGTGCTCGATGACAGCGAAGCAGTCCCCGAGGGACATGCCCGCGTTAGGAGCACCGAGGGGGGGCCATTCGAGCGGCGAGGCGTCGTTCACCTTCCCGAGGTAGGTGAGGGCTTGGCCCCGCTGGAGGGTGACAGACCAGCGCTGGCGGAACTGGCTGAGCAGTTTAGCCACCTGGTAGGAACTGGGGTCGGCGTTGAAAAGGCAGCGGGCGGCCGTGTGTGCTAGGAGTTTAAGGAAGGTTGGCACCTCGGCGCATGGGCAGCCATACGTCTCGACCGCGAGTGGGAAGAAACCGACGTAAGCTGCCCCGTGGCGGTATTCGTCGATCTTCTTGTCCGCCTGTTCCCAGGCCATGTATCCGCGGCCCTTGCGCGCTAGCGGGTCCCGGGAGCTGACTGGGTCGGTGACGGTGACGTCACAGATCCAGACCGCCCCCGAGTCCCGGTCACGTACGGCCAGGTCGGCGGTCTTGCCGTCGACAGGGTTGTAGATCGCCGTTTCTTTCGTGACTATAAGCTGTGCGTCTCGCCCCATGCGCACGCACTCATCTCGGAGGGCGTTGTGGGTGTCGGTGCGACCGTGTCCCGTCCCACAACGGAAGAGGTGGTTTGGTAGGCGGGGGTCTACGATCGCGACCTGTTGGGCGCAGTTGCAGACCCTGGGTGCCGGGAAAGGGAGGCCCATACGGAACGCCAGGGCGATGGCATAGTGAGGCGGCACCAGCCGAAGAGATGGGAATAGGGGGATGGCGAGGAGCCCGTCGCCGGCGCCATACCCAGTGAGGGAGAGGAGCCGCTGGGTGTGGCCGCTGAGGGGGTTGGGATCCATCTCCCGTGACGCGGCCAATTGACTGGCGAAGCGGGCTGCGTGTACCTCCAGGGCCAATCGGTGCTGGAGAGGTTCGTCCGAGGGTTCAGCCCGCTCGGCCTGCAGGAGCGCCAAGGCTGGAGCTGGGAGGGCCGACTCGCATTTCGCCAGCTAGGTATGGAGACGCGAGGGTCCGTTGAAGGGAGGGGCCAGGGAGCAAGCCGCTGCAGCGAGTGGGCCTGTCGGGTCCGAAGGAAGGGATATGAGCAGCCGGTGGGCATGTGTGACGCTGGTGAGGAAGGCGTGCGGGCCCTCTACTGCGGGGTCCGCAAGGCCGAGGCCGCCAAGGGTGGGGGGCAGAGAGGCCTGGTGCCACGTGCGCGACCGCTCCTGATCACCCCGTGGGAGCTGAAGGTTGCACGAGAGGAGGAGGGTATGGAAGAGCTTCTGGCCCCAGTTGGACCATTCCTCGGTCGGCAGCGAGTCTACGGGGGTGGTGCGGGTGAGATAGGATACGCGTCGTGAGACGCAGCGGGGGAGAAGAAGGCCCGCAGCAATGGGGGTCCATGGTCGTCAGGTCGGGTAGCGGTCTGGCCATGTCAGCCAGCTGCTCCCGAAGGAAAGCGGCTGTGACTTCAGTGGGGCCGAGGTGGCTCCCGAGGACGCGCAGACCGTCAGCGCGGAAGGGGATGCCCGTGTCTCTCTCTCTCTCTCTCTCTCTCTCTCTCTCTCTCTCTCTCTCTCTCTCTCTCTCTCTCTCTCTCTCTCTCTCTCTCTCTCTCTCTCTCTCTCTCTCTCTCTCTCTCTCTCTCTCTCTCTCCATCGCCCGCCCCTCTCTCGCCCGCACAGATGGCCGTCCCCTGCCCTTGCAAGACCTCTTCGCCTTCCTCCCACCCCTCCCCGACCACCCCTTGCTCCCGTCACCTCCGCCCTCCACCGTTGTCCGTCACCCCCAACCCCCCTGCCGCCTCACCCACGTCCTCCCTTCCTCCTCGCACCTGCGATCCCTTGGGGCCCACAATTGACTCTTGGCATCTGCTCACCCCTGTGGTATGCCGTCAAACGCCGTGTCCTTCCTGCCCTTGGTCAAACGCCGTGTCCTTCCTGCCCTTGGTCAAACGCCGTGTCCTTCCTGCCCTTGGTCAAACGCCATGTCCTTCCTGCCCTTGCTCAAACGCCGTGTCCTTCCTGCCCTTGGTCAAACGCCATGTCCTTCCTGCCCTTGCTCAAACGCCGTGGCGCAAATAACCCGACTCATCCGCCATGGGCCAAGTAGCAAGCCCATGCACTGTCATGGCAGATCGTTCAGATATGCGCGTCACGGTGCTTGCTCTGCCTTGAACCCCTTCTCGTTCATCAATCTCCAATCTCTCATTCGTAACTCGTGCTGCCCGCCATGGGACTAGGCTTGTTCTTCTGCATATCTCAGCCGCTGTTTGAGTCGCCTCAAATCCTTCCCCCCCTCCACATGGCAGGAGCACCCATTCCTGGGCCGGCCGTGTCTTGCCGTTCACCCCTGCAACACAGCCTCCACAATGGCGCTCATGCTGCACGCTGCTGCTCATGCTGCTGCTGCTGGAAGTGGTGGTGCTGCTGCTACAGCTGCATGTGGGGCTGACAATAAGGCAGCCACATGGCCAACAGCGGGTGCTGCACTGTCCGCTGCCAGCACTGGTGCATCGCATGACCACTGCCAGGGGCTCGAGCTCTACATGCTGAGCTGGCTGTCGCTGGTTGGCCGGATCGTTGGCATGCACCTGCCACCTAGTTTGCTGGACAGAATGGCTTCGTTGTCATCCGCAAAAAATCCGTAAATGCTAACATTGACACTATCATGCGTTAGAAAGAGGGAGCCATGGAAGAAGACGAAGCAACAAAGCTTTCAGAACCAAAGTCATGCAACAGGTGTGTGTAAGGCTGGTAGTAGTGCACGAATGGATCAATACCGATAGGTGGGTGGGAGGGATCATAAAAGGTGCGATGGGATTGCTGGTAGTGGTGCTGGTGGAGAGCCTTTGGATTGGCTCAAAAGAGCCTCCAGGCAACATGAGTGGGGGCATGGCCCATTCCAGCCCTCTCACACGTGCACAATCCACATTCATTTCTCAAACATCATTGATTTTGCTGCAACATTGCTGCTGATCAATCGGAAACCAAAGCGCTACTGGACATCAAGTGCCTTTACCCATCCGCAGCGGCAGCAGCAGCCGTTGTCCCTTCCCCTGCTGCAGTTCCAGCCTTGTCTGCCCGCACCTCACCCGCCACACCACCCGCTTCGCCCCCCCCAGCTGCCGCACCCTCACAAGCCGCATCCGCGCCTGCCCCCCCCGCTGCTCTGCTCTGCCCGGCCTTGCCCTCGTCTGCTGCCCTGCCTGGGCCAGCCTTGTCCGCCTCGCCTCGCACATCGCCAGCATCGCCTGCAGCGTCCGCACCTGCTGCGTGTGGCGCATCTGCGTGCTTCGAGTCGCCTTCAACCGCCTCGTACTCTCCTGTGGCCTCGTTGAAGCGGTACCTGGCGATTGGGGTCGTGGGAAGACAACAGTGAGAGTGAGTGGCAAGTGTAGGTAGTTGGTGGAGGGAGGATGGGGAGGTGGTCAAGAGCAGCGTTGAAGCCATTGTGTTTTGAGTCGACTCAGCACGCATGGAGAAGCAAGCGGCGACGAAACACCAAGGCATCGAGGTCGTTACGCGTACAAAGCCATATGTGACTCGTGTTCATCATGCCATGGCACTCCGCTGCTTTGGGTACAAAGCGATAAAAAACTTCACCATAACAAGGTCCTGCATGCTGCTGTGTGCCAGTAGCATTCTGTCACCGCACTGTACTGCACTCAACCCCACCATGTGTCGTTAGCAGCACTGCAGAAGAGCCCAGAGGTGGCGTCATAGTAGTAGCCCACCTCCTTGTTGTAGTAGTAGCTGGGGCGGAAACGAAGGGGGAGGGGGGGGGGGCGGGGTGCAGGCATTGATATGTGAGGTACGTCGAGAGGAGGCCTCATAGTAGTGACCCACCTTCCTGTTGAAGTAGCAGCTGGCGAGGGGGGGGGTGTAGATTTGGGGGGTTGGATGGGGGTGCAGGAATGGGTACTGTATGTGGTTGTGTAATGGTGCAGCAGAGGGAGGGAGAAGCGGAATAGGGAGAGTAACATGGTGACCTGGTAGCAGAGAGGAGGGGCGAGGTGGAGGGCAGTGCCGGTGATTGCAAGGCACTGGTGAACAACGGACGTCTGCGTGCACGAGAGCAAGGGTGGGGCGCAAGTGAGACACCATGCACTCACCCACTGCCCGGGTCGAACTCATAGCCGCTGCTGTTGCTCGGTGCTCCGCTCCCTTCAGCCCCTGCCTTCCCCTCCCCTCCCTTTCCCTCTGCTCCCCTGGTAGCCGCCTTCCCCTCACCTTCCTCCTCCCCCTGTTCCTCATCGCCATCCTCCTCCCCCTGTTCCTCATCTCCATCCTCCTTAACATCCTTGACTTTACCACCCCCCTCGTTTCCATCACCCTTTTGATGATTTCCCTCATCCCCATCGTCAGCATCATCGCCAAACATGTCCACACCATCCCCTCCTCCCTTCCCATTCCCTCTCTCCTCCCCACCTCCTTTCTCCCCCGTACTCTCCTCGCCAGCCCCTCCCCCAGCAGCCCCTGTCGTGCCCTCAGGATCGCCTCGTACCCCTCCGCCTCCCGCTGAAACGTCTCCATCTTGTCCGAGTACACGTCTGGAGAGGGGGGCGCATGACACGCAGAGAATCGCATTTTCCAGCACAGGTGTACGTGCAATGCCTCGTGCCCGTCTGCCTCTCTTCGAAACGTCTCCTTGTCCAAGCACACGTCAGCAGGGGGGGGGGCGGGCGGCAGCATAGCACATGAGAGCACATGAGAGCACATAAGAGCACATCGCAGGTGAAGTGTGAATGCCTCGTACCCTCTCGCCCACGTTGGAACGTTTCCTTCTTGTCCGTGCACACGTCTGCAGGAAGGGATGGCACATGAAGAGCAGAGAGCAGCACATTCCAGCGCAGCACAGCCATCACGTGCTTCCACAGCCATCACGTGCTTCCACAGCCATCACGTGCTTCAACAGCCGGCATCCATGAGCATCATACCTGTCTCCCCCGCATCCATGAGCATCATACCTGTCTCCCCCGCATCCATGAGCATCATACCTCTCTCCCCCGCATCCATGAGCATCATACCTCTCTCCCCCGCATCCATGAGCATCATACCTCTCTCCCCCGCATCCATGAGCATCATACCTCTCTCCCCCGCATCCATGAGCATCATACCTGTCTCCCCCGCATCCATGAGCATCATACCTGTTTCCCCGGCATCCATGAGCATCATACCTGTTTCCCCGGCATCCATGAGCATCATACCTGTTTCCCCGGCATCCATGAGCATCATACCTGTCTCCCCCGCATCCATGAGCATCATGGCGTCTTCAGTGAGCTGCTCAAACAGCCGCTGCCTCGCCTCCGAGTCCATGCCCCCCTCCTGCCCCTCGCCCCCTCCCGTCTCCTCCATCCACCGCGGTCTGTTCTGCTGCCTCCCGCCCTTCCCCCTCCCCTCCCCGCCCTCCTCCCTTTCCCCCTCACCCCCCGGCCGCCCCCTCTTCCTCCCCTGCTTCCCCCCCTTCGCTCCTCCCGCTCCCCCTTGCCCCAGCCCTTTCTTCCCCCCGCCTAGTCGCTTCAGCCCTTGAATGACCTGCGCGTGGAGGAGGGGGGAGGGGAACGGCGTGGGATGGGGGGTTGAGGGCGCGGGGTGGGGCGAGGGGTAGAGAGGCGGCGCAAGAGTCCATCTAATGGGGATGCGGTGCGGCTGCCGCATGCCACTTCACTCCAATCCATGTGGGTGGCTAATGTGGCTCTCTGCCACCCAATTCCCCATCTGAGCCATAGCTTCGCAAACCCTCCACCCTCCCATGCACACTGCCAACCTTGTTGCACTCATCCCCACACCCCCATCCATGCTCATGCCAGCTGTCCAATTTCCCCCCACTTCCTCCCTTCGTCACTTAGGGTACATTCCGGAGCAAGTGTCAGACCCGAGGTCGACCCGCGGCCAAAGGAGCTGCGGGTTGTCACAGCCTAACTGCGGGTCTTATATTTTTGACTGTGCAGTGGCTGCACAGTGGCAAACTGTCGCAAGGAGAGGGTTGCGACTATAGTGGCCGAACTTTGCGAGTCCACCAGAAATTTTTGAGTTAATGATTGGTGGAAGTTCATTTGCGCGACATTGTTAGTTGCTCGGTTTGACAGCTGACTGGCTGGAGCCGTCAGTTTTTCGCACGACCCGAGGCAATTTTTTATCAGCCTCGGATCTTCCTGCTAATCCCCTCGGGTGTAAACACTCGGTGCAGAATTTACCCTTACCGTCTCCCCGGGGTTCAGCGCATCAGCAATGCGCCGCCTGATCGCCGCCATCTCCGCGTGCCCCATGCCGCCCTCCCCGCCTGCTCCGCTGCAGCCGCTGCCTCTGCGCGCGCTGCCGCCTTGGCGGCCAGGGTGGGGGTCCACCTCTGCTGTTGCCAGCCATGCGTCCTGAACGGGAAAGAAGGGGGGGGGGGAGAAAGAGAGGAGGGAAGGGGAGGGGAGGGGGCGCATGGTTAGGGGACACAGCGACATGGCGCTGCCTCTGCCTGTGCTGCTGCTGCGGTGGCCAGGGTGGGGTTGACGGCGAGTCATGCATCCTGGTGCGGGTGGCAGGCAGGGTGAGGGGGGAATGTCAAAGTGACTGTAGAGGTGGCGCTGCCTCTGCGCGTGCGGCGGCCGTGGCTGGCGGCGTGGGGTGACCTTCAGCCGCTCCCCAGCCGTGCGCGCTGGTGCGAGTGGGGGAGGGGGGGACGCTGCACGGTGAGGGACACAGAGACACGGCGCCACGGTTTGCGAGACTTAGCGGACGTGGGGCATACGGGACACATGGCGTGAGATTCACATGTGGGAGCACTTGCTTGCGGGGCGGCCTTGGCTGCTGCTGTTGGGTCAACTCAGGCGGTGGCCAGCCCAGGGAGGGAGGAGGGAGGCCGCACGGTGTGTGGGAGTGAGGAGGGGAAAGGCAGTGATGCAGTGATGAGGGCAGCGTGTGTGCGCCTCAGCTGCCAGGCAGACGGCGGGGGAGCGAAGGGCCACCTGGTATGGTGGTCGGTGGGGGCAGGGTGGGGTTCCTCTCAGGCTGCGCCAGCCATGCGGCGTCACTCGTGAGGGCTTTGCTCGCTGGAAGGTGGATGGTGCGTGAGGGCAGCCAAGTACGGGCGTCATGCGTGCGTGAATGGTGAATGGGCATGTGGCATGTGGCATGTGGCATGTGGCATGTAGCATGTGGCATGTGGCATGTGGCGTGTTGGTTGGAAAGATGATGGGCGTGGACTGCATGTGAGAAGCCATCCATGCATGTGAGAAGCCCTCCTTGCATGTCATGCCCAACACACACGGCTCCTCCCCGCCTTACAGTGGCCTCCGTGTCCTCTCTGTACTCCACGTAGTTGCCCTCGGCGTCGAAGTACCCCTCCTCGCGCTCCTGCTGCAGGTTGAACGGCTCTATCGCCTCCTTCTCCTCCTCCTCGCCCTGCTCACACC